GAGAAAGAAAGATAGATGATAATAGATGGATGAATGGATGGATGGATGGATAGATAGATTTCATGCTCTGTCTTTCACATTTTTTGTGTCCCTAGCACTTTGCACACTGACTGGCACATACTATCTATCTATTTTAGAGATAGATAGATAGATAGATAGATAGATAGATAGATAGACAGATAGATGAATGGATGGATGGATAGACAGATAGACAGATGAGAAAATTGGAAGGAAACTTAGAGTTTTCATTTTACAGATGTGAAAACTGAGGCCTAGACAAGTGAAGTAATTTTCCCCAGGCCGTAGAAGTAGTATTTGATATATCAATCAATCAATTAACAAGCATTTATTTATCACTTACTGTATCCCAGATGGGCAGCTAGGTGGCACAGTGGACAGAACACTGGGCCTGGAGTCGGGAAGACTCCATTTTGAGTGGCTGTCCCTTGGGCCTGGAGTGCTTTCTCTCTCCTTATTTCCACCTTATACTTCCCTGGCTCCCTTCAAGTCCCAGCTAAAATCCCACCTCCTATAAAATCCACCCCCCTCCTCAATGGTGGTCCCTGCCCTCTGCTAATTCTCTCCAATTTATCTTGCTGGTACATGGTTGTTTGCTTGTTGTCTCTCCCATTAGACTTTGAGCTCCCTGAGATCGCTCCCTGTCTTTTGCCTTCTTGGTATCCCTAGCACTTAACACAGTGCTTGGAATACCATAGGCACTTAATAAATGTTTACTGACGGACTGACATGAAGTATCCTTGCTTCCTGTAAGGATGTTACATTCTAGTACCACTAAAAGCAGGAGGTAGTGTGCTACCATGGAATGGTCACTGGCTCTAGGATCAGAGGGATCTGGGTTCAAATCCTGCCTCTGACATCTAGTACTTTATGATTTTGGATAATTCACTTTCCCACTCTGGGCCCCAAGGGGTTGGCCCAGACATCTGAGTCTGTTTTAGCTTGAAATCTGTGATCCTAAGTGCATCTTGTTGAGATAGCCACTTTTAGGAAGTGATGACAAGGAATGAAAAGTTCAACTTGAGAGGAAGCTAGGCTTCTCTGGTTTTCTGGCCTGGATCTATCAGATGCTGGAACGGTTTGCCATTTCGGTTTGCCATTTCCTTCTCCAGCTCATTTTTCAGACATGGTACCTGAACTCAAGCTTTCCTAACTGAGGTCAGATCTTTAATCAAATAGGCTAATATTTGTAAAGTACTTAGCACAGAGCCTGGCACATGGTAGGTGCTTAATAAATGTTTTTTTTTTTCCCTTTCCCCCTCTCCCTACACCACGCTGCCCCTTGAGGAAAGAGAAGTCAGCCAAGGAAATCTTCCTCAGGTTAGCCTTCAGTAACGAATTTTTCTCCACGATGATATTTTGACTCACTTGGCCTACTCCAATAGAGTTGTCAACATTTTCAACTAGTAAACTGTAAGTTTCTTGAGGGCAGAGCCTGCTTTCATTTTGTCTCTGTACTGCCAGCACCTAGCACAGTGCTTGACGCACTTTTATTAAGCGCTCGTTGGATTAAATTGAGCTGAATTGTAGACTTGTGCACACACATCACAATAGACATCAGCAGGGCTTTGGAAAATAAAGGACAAATACTTCTGAGTGTGTGAGAGAGAGCGTGTATATCCCACAAGGAGATTTTTTCTTTTTGCCCCAAACTCTCTGACATTCCTAGAATTATAGCTTCCTGAGTTAATGAGCACACCATGGATTTTCTTTAAAACCTCTCTGTGTGTATTCATTAACTATAAATGACCAAGTGAAAAGGTTGTTCCCTCCACAGAAGACTTGCAGAATGAGCCGGGGGAGAGGACTATGGCACCATCTGGCCGCCATTGCGTTGGCCATCCTGATTCCACAAACCTCATCTTGGGTTAGGCCAAGCAGGCCCGGGCTGAGCAGCAGCAGACTGGGGGTCTCTGGTCCTGACTGGTGACTAACTTACAGCATGTTATTTTTCCTCTCCAGGCCTCAGTTTCTTCATCTATAAAATTATGGGTTTGCACCGGCCCTGAAGTCAGGAGGACCTGAATTCAAATTCAGCCTCAGACCAAACACTTGACACTTATTAGCTGTGTGAACCTGGGCAAGTCACTTAAACCCAACTGCCTAAAAAATAAAATTAAATTAAATTATGGGTTTGGATGAGAGAGCCTCTAAGGCACCTCTGTAACTTGGACATTCCCTGTTCTAAGCTCTCCCCCAGCTCTGACATTCTATGTTCTAAACCCTGCCCTCCAGTCCTGACATTCTGTGTTCTGAACTCCCTCCCAGCTCTGACATTCCCTGTTCTAAGCTCCTTCCCAGCTCTGACATTTGCTGCTCTAATCTCCCTCCCAGCTCTGACATTCCCTGTTCTAAGGCCCCTCCCAGCTCTGACATTCTCTATTCTAGCTCCCTCCCAGCTCTGACATTCCCTGTTCGAAGCTCCTTCCCAGCTCTGACACTTGCTGCTCTAATCTCCCTTCCACCTCTGACATTCTCTGTTTCACTGTTCCTCTGATTCTCACATTCTATAATACTATTTAGCCAATTATGAAAAATACAAATCACTGAGGACTCTTCTGCTGGCCGTACTTGGGACCTTCCCCTTTCTGCAGGGCTGGGGGTCTTGGAGGCAGTCCTCTGGTATTTGTAAACTCTGTGTGTGTAGGCAACTTCTGGCCCTCTATTTTTGTGGCTCAGAGGCTGGTGATTCCAGGGAGGCCGCAGACTCATCCTAGAGCTGAATGGACAAGTAGCAGCCAGGCTACAGCTGTCTGGATTGGGGCAGATTGGTTTTCACTGCCAGCAGGAAAAGGCCCTGAACAAAATCAATCAGGAGCCTGAGAGAGACGAAGAAGAGCACAAAATTCTGCTGATTTCTGTTTGTTTTGGACCTTTGGGGTATATGGGGTGTTCAGGGAGGACTAGCACCTCTGGTGTAAGAGCTGCTCATGCACCTTGGGTATCCACCTTTACCCAGCTCTCACCCCTGGCTCCAAGAAGCTGTGTGCAGCGGCCATAACCTGGTAAACTGCCTTGGCAGACAG